GTATGATATCTCTTTCAATACCATATCTGGTGTGAAAACTGAAGAAGAAAAAGTGAATTCCGTGTAATTCAGTTTTCATGTTCAATTTTTTTTTCGTTTTGAACCCTCAAATCTTCTGTACACGATGATTCACACACGATTTCGAACATTGATGTATTTAATTTTTTTTCATTGTAGGTTCCTCGCTCTTTGTGTATTGATTAAAAAGCCAAAAATATATGATAATACAGCAAAACTAGCAATGAACAAGAGATATAGAATATAAAAACGAATTGAACTATTACAAATTCGAGGAGGTTGCTTGGTTGCATATGAAAAAAGAACCAGTTTTCTCATGCAGCTTGTATAAACCATTTATTTACTATTTCATAATGGCATTTCATAATACATATAAAAAATTGTCTGCAGTTTCGTTCTCTTCAATATCGTTGTCTCATTATTTTTATTGCGTTTGTAAGTAGTTGAATCTTTGAAAATTATTTGAGCAGAAAATAACGCGGACTACTTCCAATCATTTTACTCTTCAGTTTATTATTTCTCATTTAACCGCCCCATTAAGTCAGGTTCATTATTGTTAGCAATGACTGTGAGATAAAATCGCGTAAATTCATGCACTTATGTACTTATTTTTTCCAGCTCTCTAATTTGCAAATCATTTGATTTGATTATATAATAGTTAATGAAAAAAATTACATGGAAAAAGGTATTTCCGGGAAACTTCTTTTTGAATTTGTGGTACTGAAATACACAAGAGCGTATTTTGATGAATCATAGAATAACCGTTGATGTAAAAACATTGAAAAAACTTACCGGAAAATAGTCATCAGGAACTTGTAATTGATGTAGTAAAAAATGAATTTGCTGTTGAACTATGACCAGCCTATGGTCTCAACAAAAGAAATAGTGTAGAAGAATTAGAATTTCAAGAAAATATCTCATTGAATGCAATTCCTGATAGATACCCATAACTTTCACTTATTTCTTCGATAACTTTTTTTTTATATCATATCTTTTTTGCTCAAAGCGAACGTGACTAGTCTATGGACAAGAAAATGAATTCCCGCCATGGTGGGAACTGTCAGTGATATATCTGAAAGTGTTAGTACTCTGCCTATACCTTATCGACGTTTGTTATAACTAGAACATCCAGGAATGGTAGATTTTCGTTATTTTCAGTGTCATACGACAATATTACATTCTGGGATCTGTTGTTGAGAGAAGACACAAAAGGGCAAGCTTATCATCCACCTGTCTGATCCAAGACAATGAAAAGTAATCTAACGCTTCTCTTGCATCCATTTCGAATCTCATCAGATTCACCATGAAAGGAGAAAATGGATCCCCCATTGCCGTACCTTCATGCTGTTTCTAAAAACAGTAAGCGAACTGAAATTCTTTATGTTCCCTTTAAATCTGTGTGAGCTGAATATACTCTTCAACTACTTCACCACATAGTTCATTCATTTTCAAAAGAACCTTCAGATATTCGGTTACTTTTAATATAGACACACGAAGGTACGACAAAAAATCTAAAATCTTACCATTTTGCAACCATACGTCTTCAGTTCTTTTGATGACATCTTGTGAATTAATGACATTTAAACTGGGTGACGGAATCAAGGTATCGAACTGTTTTGTTAGCTATTTAGCGATCTTATACGTAGGAGAACCTATAGCTAACAGCGCGTTGATTGACAGTACTTTGTTCTGGTGTGTTCAATAAATCAAAAAGACTATTTATTAATGATCATGCCTTCGTAAAATCGATGAATAAGCTAATATCTAGTGAACGCAAACCTGACAGCTAGTATTGGTAAACTAGATGTTTGAGGGTTTCAGATCCCTTGGGTGTGACATGAGCATTGAGGTGTACTCCAGACTTCTTTCTCTGGAAATTCAGAAGACATCTTGAATCAAGGTGAAATATTTCACCAAGATATCAAACTTGTGAAGGGTGGGTTAGGACATGATGCCATAATACTGATGGAATTTCAAAAGAGAGAGTTGAAATGAGCTTGAAATCACGACCTAGTAGGCTGTGAAAAAATTCACATCTTGGATCTAATAGATTAACGTTAACAGCAGAATCTACGATATCTTCTTCAATTAGTTGATAGGAAATTAATTATCATTTTATTCTTCATAATATTGGCAAAAATCTGAATTTTCAATTCCAAAGTGATTTCAAACAGTCGTAACGTTTTGTACATCACATTGTTTATGCCTATTTGCGTTGAATTCGACTCCGAAACTTTTTTACCCCAGAGAATGGCTTGTGTAAACTGAATATAATTATAATAATAATGTTCGAACGGATATATGAGCAGAGAGGGTCAAAGAGAAGGGTTGCTGGATGTAAAGAGAACCTGCTCATCGATAGATGTGTAACGCAGGACTCGATACAATATAAGCGTAACCTCTCTATGGCCTGGATCAATTACCGCAAGGCATTTGATACAAATCGCATGATCTCATCTTGCATTTGCTCAGATGCCTATCCGACAAAATAGTGAGATGCATTGAACAACTGTTACCACTCTGGCGAACTCGTTTCACCATAACATCTGGTCAAGCCAGAGTCCAAACAGGGTGGGTCACTTTCAGAAAGGGTGTATTTCGGGCGAAACCCTCAGTCCCCTTCTCTTCTGCATCTCACTATTATCATTATCCGTTCCAGAAACGAATACTACAAATACTTGTTAATGCGTGTGTATAACAGAAGCTATTTATTTCCAACTGAAAATAAATTTTAACTATCAAAACTGGTAGTTGAAATTAAATAATTATGATATGTATATGCTTGTGGTTTGTTTGCTTTAACACTTCTGGAGACCAATTAGATAAAGAAAATAACTTGCAATTATGATTCCTTCGACAAATAATGACTTTTGTCTTGTTGTCTTTTCAGTTCGAAATTTTCACATAATCTCAAGTGTGGATAGATTTTCGTAGGCTAACAGACAGATGGCGCTACTAGTATTAAATCCATATGATTTTTAGTTAACCCTGACCTTTAAAAGACACTAGTACGAATTTCACACCTGTCTGTCTGATAGTCTGTCAGACTATCAGTTTGTGGGATAGAACATTTTCAGTTAAGCAACTTTTGTTTGTCTTAGAAGGACGACCAAAATGATGAGCAGTCTTTTAGCATAACAAGAGCATCAAATACGAAAGAAGATACAGTTTGTGTATCTTCTTTGATACATTGTTTCAAAGAAGACATTGTATTGAGTGATTGCTCAATACAATGTATTCTTTGTATTGAGTGACATTTGTATTGAGTGACATTGTATTGAGTGATTGCAGTATGGTGAATTAGTCAACTATCCAGTATTGTTTCCAATCTGTCGTAGTTGTGATTGATAAATATTGTCGATTCTAATTTCAATTTAGTATAACTTCTGATAAATTTTAGTGACGTAGAATTGTAGAGTTTTGGTCCAATGTATGTAATAAATTTTTTATTGTGAGTATTGTGATATATTCTGAAAAAATGTACTCGTAACACTGGCTGTCCATAATATACAACGGAAAGTATACAGTTTTCTTACACTATATATTCCACTCTCTTCATATAATGCTTGAGTATTATAGCATGTATTCTTTCTGAACATAATTTTTATGAGTGAGTTTTGGAACATTTCTAAATTACCTAAGGAAGATTTGAATATTCCTCCCCATATTATTAGACAATACCGTAAAATGGACTCGGCCAGGGCGTCATATACAGTAAGCAACATTTTTCTTCTGACTATACTTCTGAGTTGATAAAATTTGTAAGTGAGCTTACGTAATCTTTTCGCCGTATAGTCAATATGAGCATTCCAATGAAGGCACTGATCCACTAGGATCCCTAAGTATTTTATTGTATCAGTTTTTTCTGTGAAGGGACAAGTGTAAGAGAGTCTATCGTTTTGGCAAGTAAGTTTATGGATTTTAATCTCTGTAATAGCGGGCTGATCTTTCTTTGTCGAGGAAAATGCAATAAATTTAGTTTTTTTGACGTTGACACTCAATNTTCAGATCTGTAATCACCAGATATTTCAGGTGGTAAATTTAGGGCTGTTTCTTCTATAGCAGTAACTAATTCAAATGTTGGTACTATTTTTGGAGTTACTGAGAAATTCAGTCCTTTGCCCAGTAGTGATTTTTCATGAATATTGAGAATTTTGGATGACAAGTTAATTACAGTTTTTTCTGTAAATTGTTGGTTATTTTCTTTATTACTGAAAAAACTTGTTTGTTTTCCTTCCAGTAGTTTTTTAAATTTATTTATGTGAGTTCTATTTCTACTTTGATTGAAAGAGTTGAAAGATTGTTGAATGCAATAATATAAATAGTCAAAATCATTGTGAATCAGATGTGTTCTTATGTATTGCTCCAAATCACATATATTCATTTCAAATGTTACCGACTTTTTCCTTGTCAGATCTCAAGAGGATGCTTGCTGAAAAAATGTTTATGCTGATGAAGAGGTAATCGTCAAAACGGAGGCCTGGAATTTATTTTTATGTTTGTTTATACATTTGTATGTTTATCTGTATGCATGTTTATAACTCAATTACAATTATTTGAGGCTGAAGGCAAATCCCACTATAAAAACGATATCGAAAAAGTTCATGACCGCTATAATCGTTGTGGCCCTCGAAGGCAACTACATTGAATAATAAAATCACATTTCATCGAAAAAATTTTTTTTTCTATGTCAGCATACGAACTTTTCAGTCCAATGTTAGGTGGAGAAATTCTTGATTACTACCCTTTCTTTATAACATCTAGTTTTTTAATTCCCATCACAACCCATTTCAGAGTCATCATAGTTATTCCAAAATCTCGGTAAATACATTTCGAAACAATTTTTCGTAAAATTGTCTGGTAGAGACATGTACATAGTTGATGAACATATGCAATATTTTAGTTCTTCAAAAAAATTATATTCGGTAATTACCTGAATGTTCAATCAAAAATAGTATGTAATTTAAAAAAAAAGTACTCACTTTGCCCTCTAACCAAATTAACTAAACCAAGCAAACATATATTACCGAAAAGAAACATTTGTAACCGCATGTCACTGTCACTTCAACAACTACAACCCCGTAATAAAATATTCGTAATGAAGTCTACTTCTTCTCACACTGATATATCGAAGATACTGAGATCAGATCGAATGCGACGGCAAATTTAAATTTTATCGCCTCTGTTATTGTTGGATTATGACGATACCTAGTGGACTGCTTGCCCCGCCATGGTCAAAACGAGAGAAGGTCGGAATACAAGTGCATGGGAAATAATGAGTGGTAACCGGGAACGTTGTTAATTTTGCAATAACTACTTCTTCCTCTAAAAAAATTAAGCGGGTCTTCTGGGAATTCCGTTGAGTAAAAGTCAAGGAACTTCACTGGCCTAATGAACTGAGTAGGAACTTGTAGAAACAGCTTTTTTGGAAGAATATTATTGGTTCATGGAGGGTATTCTTTGTTGGGTTTAGGTCCTCTCACGTCACGGGTCTGGATGTGTTGGAAAATTGTTGTCACCGTCAATTCGCAGGAAGAAAATGAATAAGAGGTTAAAAAATGTAACTTTTATGTAATGTGACTTCATTCTGGTATCATAATTATGAACAAATAACAACAAGAGACCCACCATGATACATTTGACAATAAGTATTTTCACAAGTCACTTTTTCAATTTCTACTGAATTTCTCCATAATAAAATGAAGTATTTTCCGATTCATTCTTAACGCACTTCAACTGTTTCAATAAATAACAATATCGTTATTCAAATTGAGTGAGTACTTGATTAAATAAATCAATTAAACTGATACTCAAACATTTTACAGTATTACATATTTGTAACACTTCATTGCCAAAATTGATATCTGCATAATAATAGTTTTTACATTTTAGGCATTTCTAATGACAACTGCTTATGTTTCATAAGCAATCAAATATAAATGCTTATCTCTGGACCAATTATGCAGGCCATCAAGACATTTCTGTTTCGAAATTGACTCAGATCCTTCAACTTGAACAAATGAGATGAATCATCTGCATACAGGAAGACCAAGCATTCATGTAAAAACATGCTTCCTTATTAATATATAATATAAATGGGATCGGTACCAACACCGATCCTTGAGGAACAGTGATATAATTAATTGGATGATGGACACCAACGATATGTAGAGAAGCGGTGGCGAATATTTGAACGATGTTATATTCCACATATAATGACATCAATAAGTCTTTCAAGAAATATTTCAATATGAGATTTTCACTAAACAGTTTTACAAAAACGCAACACGTGTTCCGCTATACAATAGCTACTTCAAACGTGTCTATACTCCAGTATAGACAGATACCTGCCAAGTTTTCCCTTTGCATATTATTGATGTCATTAGCATAACACACAATATGACAAGTGGAGTTAATCATTTTAATTACAGCATTCATATAATGAAGAAACAGAAGAGGACCCAAAACATTTCCTTGAGGTATGCCTACAGAAATATTCATGGTCTACTGAGCTCTTTTCCAATCTCAAAAACTTGTACTCGCTGTGAGGAATAATCTTTTATCAGATTCAATATTTGGCCTTGAAATGCATCAGTATCGAATTTGTTCAACAGTATAGTTATCATGTGACATGGTATCACATTATATATACGCTGTCCATCTAAGCAACAGAGTGCTCCAAAACACTATCATGCATGATCTCCCAGACAAGCCTACTTGTACAGAGTCGCACTGAGGCCGAACGATTTTTTTATAATATGCGGCTGGGTATTGGATTTTTTTAGGTGGAGTATAGGGACACAAATTAGCAGTTCCTTCAGCCGTATCAGTAATTGAAATCAGTACTTGACAATTTTAAACTTTAAAATACCGTATATGTACACTGTACACACAACAGGCGTTAAACCGTAACTGACCACTTTGAACTGTAACCAGGAATTCCGTTAGCCGAATGCAGTTAAATCTGATTGGCCAGGGTAGAGAGGCTTATTTATTTTACCCAATAGATGCAAATGTGCGTAGTGATCATTCTTTGATCACGCGTCTATCTTTGCTTGGGTTACTTTGTTTGCTGGATGGATATAGTTCAGTATATAGAAGTTGATAAGTAAAAGTAACTCGACAAAGATGGCTGAAAGCAAAATACTGCATATCGAGTTTGGCTATACAATCTAGAATCAGGAAAATTGTTCTGGTTATGGAAATGTGTTTTCTTCAGATTCATTTCACGCCAGAGGTATTGAATTTACTTATCAAGATACCCTGTACTTTGAAGAGGTTACGTTGATGGCCATGTTACGATTGCGCACGGCTGGTGTGAACTTCGAAGTACGAATGGGTCATTTGAGAGTGAGTTTATGGCGAGAAACGCTTACTGCGCAACCTCTGCTGCAAGCAACCAGTGATGCAATTGAACTCAGGTTTGTGTTTAATGAATCCTACAAATTACCAATAAAAAAACACAGAGTCAGATGCTACAAATGCAATACGCATATATACAGACGGCTCAAAAACCAAAGAAGGCTCAGGATGTGGGGTGTACTCCAGATAACTAAACCCAAGGATTAAGTGGGGAATGGAAAAAAATACCAGCGTGGTTCAAACAGTATTGGCTGGTATCTCAATCGCCACAAAAGAAATAACCAGGAGAGAAATTTTTGCTAAAAACATAACAATCTGCAGTGATTACAAACAAGCCCTATTAGCCTTGAACAGACAACGTGTTACCTCTGGGCTAGTACTAGAGTGCCACCAAGATTTAGCCAAAGACTCGGCAGATAATAACATCATCCTGAGGTGGGTTAAAGCTGAAGAGTCGGCAATCACATTGCCGACTCTTCAGCCAAAGAAGCGGCTGGGCTAAGAATTTTAGGACCCAGTGGCCTGATGACTGCGACAATTGCGGAACTTGCCAAACAACACACCCATGCTCAATCCCTGAAGAGATGGGATGGAATCAAAGGATGGTGCCAAAGAAATATCTGGCGATGACTAGGAAAAAGCTACGCTTAACAGTAGGATTTATGACTGGCCACTGTCAACTAAGGAAACACCTCCATAATATGGGGCTAGTGGACACACCTCTATGCAGGATGCGTGAACAGGAAGATGAGACTTTCAGGCATGTCCTATGCGAGTGTCCGGAGTTATCGTCAATAAGAGAGTGGGTGTTCGATGAGTCTTGGCCTACACCTGCCGATATAAAGGAGATGTGACCTATCCACCTTCCTGGAAAAGACAGATTGGACGATGACATAGGAGGACAACTCCTAGGGAGGATGTACAATGGGTCACATGTGGCCTAAGTGCTGTGGGTTTACACTCACCCTCCCTACTCTACAGATACAGATATCAAGTGAAATTTTTTTCTTCAAATTCCGCAGGCTCTATCCAGACCATTCTGTTGAAATGGTTGTTCTGAGTTGGTCAACGAATATACAGGGCTTTTCATGATGAGCGTTAATTAGCCGTTTCTAACAAACTATTTAACGGATCAACCTGAAAATTTCACAGTATGCATAAATCAATATGACCTACACGCCTAAAATATTTCAGACGAAGCGGCGTTGTCGCTTCTACTATAA